CAGTACCTAATTATTACGTAATTTGTTTGATGTTTGACCTCAATCAGAATTTGTTTAACATCAAGTACCTAYTCCGAAAAATACGATTTTCCCATGCGGGGTCTGAGGAAATGTTTCCCCAGTCCTACCTCCTCTCACGTGAAAATCGTATTTTCCGGGGTACCCGATGTTGAATAAATTCTGATTATGTCAAACGAATTACGTACTATTTATTGGCAAAAAAAAACTGTGAAAATGTAAATGTGGGCGGCTGGGGTAACGTACGTAAGTGTATCACCAAAAACTGTATTATAAATAAACTAATCGTGAGTATCGTTTTACTTAACCATTTTTTTTTCGGGAGGTTTGAGTTTTAAAATCACATAAATTGAAAAATTATGAAAAATAGAAATAAATTTAAAATAAAACTTTGATGGTACTTTTATGATATAGGTACCTAGTATATAATTTTTTTTTTTTTTATCTTTGACCAAAAATATATTGACAACTAGGCCATTAGTAAAATAATTTTTTTTTTTCGTTACATTTTTAGTATTTTAAGTATTTACATTTTTTACATTTAAATTAAATTGTACAACACTGTTTTTTTCAGAATAAAATGAAGTTTTTTACATCCTGTGGGTTTGGTCTAAATTCTTGACAGATTTGTTCGGAGATTTTTAATCATTTATTATAATAACATTAAAAACAATATWTTTTAATTAATAATTATATTGCGATGTATTTTTACGGGAATGGAACGTACAACGATTGTATAAGCGTGTCTGGACACCGATTACTTAATGTGCATTACCACTGACACATACAACTTAAATAGCTGAGTGTGTAGTGGTGTTTAGCTCAAACAGCATTGATTAGAATTGCTTGTCAAATACTGAAGAGCTGCGTAATACGTGATATTATGTAATAACGTATTCTTATGTGTAAGGGTGTGTAACAAATTAGAAACAAATATAGACACAAACTTAATTAGTAGCTAGTGTTTCTGTATAATAAACAAATTTGAATAAAACATTATGTATAACAATCAAAGCAACATTGTTTAACAGAATATACACAATATTATTAGATTTATAGCCTCTCTGACTCAACAGATGAAAATCGGTCGAATCTCGATAACTCGAATCTCAAGGAGTATAAAAATAAATAAATTAGACTTATGTAATTTTCAGGCTATAAAATTCAAAATATTCAAATACTAGGTACTTAAAGACATAATTCAAGGGGCAAGTAAAAAGTATGAGATATTGAGATTTGACTGTACTAATAAATCATAGCAATTTGTGMGAACAACCTACTATTAATTAATGTGAAATAGCATAGACGTGCGCATGGATACAGCTGCAGATGAGCAGAATATACAGTATGTGCAACATTTTTTGGGCTGATTGATTGACCTACCACATGTGGACCGTAGCTGTACAAGTTATGTATGCTGATTGGTCATCGTTTGCGGATTTAATATAATATCAAGCCGATAAAATGGATGTAAACCAATTTTTCCAGTAGATAATATTTTGATACTTTGTACGATTGTATTTAGTTTACAGCAAATTTATAGTCAAAATTACGAAGCTCTAGAGTACAAATTAACAAATTTTTTWAAATACTAACAAAATGGTAATAGATGCCTATGAGAAATAAAATAGCTCTGGTAGCCATGGTAATAATTACCTAATAATGATACCTATTGTACGRTGCTTCTAGCGTAACAGAATAAAAGCGTACAAAAGCAGCTATTATAGRTGTACTGTATAATATAATTACTTATTTACAGTTTACATAGCTATTAGCCATAGGGTTAGGTTAGGTTAGGTACCAATAGGTATATAATATTATACGTTTCTATTCTGTTGCCCTAAAAGGGGCCATGCAGTATTGTTATTATAATATAATTAGAGTTCTGGTGGCTCTAACCTAACCTTTGAATCTAATGATCATGGAAACTCATGGTTTGTATAGCACTGTCTAATAAATAAGATACATTTCGAATATACGAGTAAAATTAAATAAGCAATATTAAATGACAAGAGTACCAAGTTGCAAGTAGTTCTGAGGTGCACGCTCACAGAAGAAATCAAAATTTTACTGTATTTTATAATACATTTTTGTAATTGGTAAATGATTATAATGGTTAAATTATATTTWAAAAAATTAGTAGGTATTTATTTATTTTTGTACACTTTATTGGTTTCCATTCGTTACTCGAACAGATAAAGTAAAAGCATTCATAAAATGCGTTATAACTTATAATTATTATTTATTTTAAAAATTTAAAGTAACTGCAGTCCTATAAATGACCGTACACAAACATTTCTGGCAGAGAAATACGAGTAGGTACCTACTGTAGTCTACCAACAATATTCTAGCTACCAATTCTATATGCTTCGCTAAAGTAATAAAATATATAACCAGAAAAACGTGTTCACATAGCGGTATAGGTTAATAGGTACCTATAAATTAAATCAATAATATGCTATTGCACTTTTAATAAAATAGGTAATTACTTTCATAATATTTAGTGTTTACTACCGAACTATGATTATGTTTTTAACTTAACCAATGTTATAAACAAAATTACATACATAATATATTATATAATGAACTGTCACTGTGTAAAGTAAACACTAAACAGTATAGTGTTACAGCTCAATAGGACTTCACACCTAGGACTTTCACAAAAACAAAAATATTATACGAGTACTCGCACGTGGAACACTGTAAAAGCAAGTATTCAAAGATAACTAGTGCAGTTTCGATACGGCCCACTTAGATATCCAGCAATCGCCAAGGGCTCTTGGATATTTTTAATATTAGGGAACCCATAATATCTAGTTAAATTGACAGTGATTTTCACTTATGAGGCGTGACGCAGGTTCAATTTAATAAATTTGTTAACTTTTAATATCGTAATGATTGAGGTGTGGCTTATTCGACATATTATTCATAACATTCAAATAGGTATGTTATTCAATGTAGACAGGTTAAAAGTAAACGAGTACATTCCAATTGATAAAAGCAAAATTATATCACAATATCTATTAGATCCTTTAACTTGCTGGTTTTTTAAAGAAAACATAATTTGACTTTTAGACCACATCATTAAAGATACATTATGAACTTTGCAACAAACAATTAAGGAAAACTACTATTTAAATTATGATTTATTCAATTAACGGTATAATCAGGTATAAAGCTATAGCRTGAATTATGAATAGGTCATAGAATAGTTTGTTTATCGTGCAATTAGTCTCTAAAATAAATAAGATATTGAGGTGTAACGGCACACACACACACACGCGCGCGCACGCGCCTTAAAAAGTATTTTTCAAGACCAACACTACGTACGAAACAACATGTTGACAATATAATCACCCACTTACATAAGAGAATGTTACCTGATGAGGGAAAAACGCACCAAGCATGTAACTCGTACCATACCAAAGGTGCAAATTCCCTCGCCACTCTTGATAAACTGAGCCAACCGACACCGGGGTTTCCCATAAAAATAGTATATGAACATATCGATGAAATTAGAAAAATTAAGTCAGTCTTCATCCTAACCTTCGACCGTCAACACATAACAGGACAGCAGAAAGACTCGAAGGAACAAGACACCAATAATTGTCAGCTGCAGCAGCATACACGAAGCGCATTCCGATCGTCGTAGCTTGATACTGCCACCAAGCGGCATATAATAACGACCATTTMACGATTGAACAACTTAGTTGCAGCACAATATTGCAGTCGCCAGCGGCATACAACAACTGCAGCCCAACCCCGACGGCCGTCATAGTGCATTAGCCCTGAAGTCGACTCAAAGACCAGCCGACGMATACTCCACGGACTGCGACACGTCGATATTTTTTTTTTACAGGGTTCTGACAACCGCTAGGACATCGGCCCCTGAGTCCACATTTTTGTTTATGTATTTACGTAAAAAAAAATTAAAATATTATTTACGGAATGGCGAATACCAACTAGTTCATATCCACGAGATGGCATCGCGACAGAGATTCCTAAACAAAATATAGGTATATAATCTAATTAATCGTTAGTTGTATTTTTCTCCAACATAGAGTTTTTGATAAAATAAGGTTAATGATTAGGCTGCTCTTAACACTGAATAACTTACTATAAAATAGTTTAACGGATTTGTAGTCTATAATGTTCCACATTTTAATATAATTCGATTCTAGCTTAAATATTTAATAAAATTATTATAACACGCACACAATTATACGAATGGATGTATGATGATATGTAGGTGTGTCTACAGATTATAGACCAGCAAGAGTATTATTTTACGCTAAATATTTTATAATAAAGCATTTTTTTTTTTTTTTTTTAAATCTAAAGAGTGACACCAAATTAGATACAAGTCGTATGTAGTTAAACAATATACATAAAAAACAATATACAATTCCGAATTCGAATATACAATAAACAATACAAACAATAAAAAAAAAAAAAATCTAAATAAAGTAAAACCATATAATTTTCACATGGTAAACAATTTCAAAATAAAATATGTAATAACCTGGGGAAAATGCAAAATAATTTGAGAAATTACATTGTTGCAATGTAAAGCAGTATAATAGGTTTACGAAATTATACGCTTGAATAAAACACTTTATATAAGCAGTATATAAATGTACAATATATAATAAGTGTATATGTGTGTATAAAAATATACTGTCAACAATTTAAAATCATTATAACTCAATTATAATATTTAATATAATACAGTTTATGAAATATTTAACAATATTAGTAACATATTAGTAAAAAATGTTACAACATTTAATATTCTATTATATACAAATTACATATCGACGTTTAAACGTAGTAKACATCGTATTATGATTTTAATGTAATGGAAATGTTTTGACGACACGGTATAAAATTTAAACAAAATTGTAATATAATATATCGCAGTAATATTTATAAAGAAATATAATAAACATGTTGAAAATAAATGGAATACAAATAAAATAAACCTAATATTTTATAACTATTATTTATATATACATATGTATGTCTTACATCAACAAACAAACAAACTMAAGGTATATCAAATCATTGAACCTTCTGCTTTTATAACTATTTAAAAAAAAAAAATTAACTACCTTATAATAATTGTATACAGTTAAAGAATATGACAACCGATATTTAAATGAAACAGCAAATTTTCAGAAACAAAATTACGTACCTCTATTATTCTAAAAATACTTCATCGTCACAACCAACAGATTATATAGGCGTAGGTACCTAATATTAGTAATGACTAATAAGTAATAACATAGGTTTATGAAGCTCAATATTGTTGAAATATTCAACAATCAACAATATAGAGTAAACAAATTAGGAATTGTATTCGAGGCAATATTTTCCTCGAAAACCACATAAAGCAGTTGTACATATTTTGATAGTTATACGAGTACTTTCAAGTACTTCCARTAAGTAAATGTTGGTAACAAGTCCAATAATAATCAGTCATGTAATCATGTTGTAGTCTACAAGAAATTATTTACATAAAACCAGTCAATTTGAGAAGTAGGGAAGTAATAGTCCACGCACAGTACAGTAAGAATGCGTACACAAATACTTGTAAAGCAGTGTGTGCCATGTATAACCTGAAAACAATAAAACAATTCAATAATGGATTAAAATATTGTATACAACTAATAATTATTCATGAATTCTGAGCAATATCAATAACCATTTATTAGGTTAATTTATTATTATATTGAGATTGGATTGTTATCATCCTTTTTTACAGTACTGTATTGAATACTCTAATTTCRTTTCATCAAACCCATAGGTAAYTCACAATTCGTTAAAAACCTCAAATAAATTAAAATCAATAAAAAAGAAAATTACTAAATGGTATACTCAACCCAATGCTTCTAGACGTTCTGAAATAATTAACAGAATATCAAGAATCAGCCATACCAACCTCATCAACATACACATCATRATGCATGAAGAACAACCTATCTGCATTCAATGCAACGAACCTCCATCAATAAAACACATAGTTCTATATTACCCTCTATATGTCAACACAAGAATCATCCTCAACCAACCTTATTCAATGGAGGAAGCACTTGGAGAACACAACACCCAGCTGATCCATAGCTTCTTCAAATCTATTGGCATCGACACAAACACTTAAATATTAAGCTAAATCTATTCAT